TGTAGAGATGAGGTCTCGCTGCCCAGGCGGGTCTCGAACCCGCAGGCTCAGGCAATCCACTCACCTCAGCCTCCCAAAGGCACGGGATTACAGGCTGAGCCACCGAGCCCGGCTTGGAGAGACTTCTGACCAGCATTTTAATCTTTTCCAGAATACTGAATCCAAAGAAATCAATGGAATTCATGATGAAAGCAACACTTTTGAATCAAAAGGTAAATATAACCATTATAACTTATGTATATAATGTAGAAAACGTCATAGTGCTCAGGTTCTGCCATTGTAAAAATTAATATCTGGGAGTGAAGGAAAAACTGATCCACTGCAAGTTGAAACGAAAAGGTTAGCACACAGATCCAATTGCAGCCAGGTGGAAGGGCATTCACTTCCAGCTTTGAATAGTTCAGGAACTGCAAACAAAGCTTTGGCAGCATGTTCTAGAGCTATGAATGCCTGTGTGCCTAAGTCAAATAAGAAAGACTGGTTTTCCGGAGGCCGTCAGCTTTCTTGCTATGATATGCTGGCAAAGGAAAGCTTAGTTAAATATGAAACGATGAATGAAGTTTCCTTTTCTCTTTTATTGTTTGAAAGAGACAAGCTTGGAGGCAGTTAGCCTTAATAAGGAAATGCCCATGGCAATTACAGACATTCCTATTTGTAATGAAAAAGAATGGGGGGAGTCTTTAAGGAAATTTTGGAGTTTTCACTTTCTTCCTCCTTCTGCCTATCCAGAAGTAATTTAGCTACCACACATTGTCTGCTATTCTTTGGGTATACAAAATAAGAAAGATCTGGTCTATACGGGCAGGGAAAACACCCAAAGAAGTATAAACTTCTATTGCCATGAAATTAGACTGCCAAGGATGGAACTGGGTTTTCACAGTTTTTTGGTGCCTTTGAATCTGCATTTGCCAGTTTATAATACCATATGTTAAAACCAACCTAAGTTTATAAATTCTCCTTCGCACAATCATTATTTATCTTTGTATTTCATTTCCGATAGTTAGAATTTGATTATATTTTGTTTTGAGTTGCATTCTTTATCAAAGGAGTTTTTAAAACACACATTGCTTATCTTTCTTCATGATGCTAAATTGAAGGCATCCGGTTCCTGCTCTGCCAGTGACTTAGGCAAAGCCAACCGATAAGACATCTAACTCTCTAATGACTATGGGACTGTATGCAGGCCCTGCCATTGGAAGGTTTTGTTTAGATAAGTAAGCACCAGCTTATTTCAAGTAATAACCACACATTTTATGCCATACTCTTATGACAGATCTGTGGGAGAGGTCAGGATGCTTTTCTTTTTTTTCTGACTGAACTTCACTTGCTTCACTTAAAGTTAGTAGCTGCAAGATCTTGAAAACTAGGTCAAAATATTCTAGTCAGAAGAATGTTTTAATTCTGGCATTTGTTTTCATTTGATCTTTCTTTAAGCATCACTTATTTTGTCTTCTTCCCCATTATTTTTCAGTTCTCATTCATCAGTGTTGTAAAAACTGTGTGTTATAGACAGTGTTCCTTTTACTAGACAAGATTATGGATTGATTACCTAAACAAAAAATGCTAATTTCCATTTGCCTAAAGCTGTGGGATCTAGCACAGAAGATGATACTTTGGCTTTCACAGCTGTGAAACTATGATGCTATCTGCTAAAATTTATTAATAAAAATATTGTTTCTTTTACTAATTTAAATGTAGTCTAGCCTACTAAAAATGTGTGTGAATGTGCTTTGAAATAATACGTATCTTCTATGGCTATCAGTTTTGTCATCTTTTAGAATAATATTACTACTGATTGGAAAGGTATATCAAGCATCATTTAATTTACCAGTGGCGAGAAATGAAAATGAATGACACAGTGTTTATGTTTTTTTTTCAACTAGCATCTGAACCCATTTCTTTGAAAAACTTAAAAAGACGATCACAATTTTTTGAACAAGGTAAACCATAAAAGCTAACAATTCATGCACTTTGATGGACTCTTCTCACTCTCCACTTCTCCTTGTGGTTTATGGTGCTGGGCACTGAGTTTCTTTGGTTTGGCTGTCATCATGACCAAGCGATATAACCCATTTCCATTCTTTCCCTAGGGTCATCAGGCTTTTCTTACAGTTCATGGGTCTACCTCTGTGGTAATGGGTCTTTGTGTGTCCTTTGTATACCTATTAAAGTTTCTTTCTTTTTTTTTTTAAACTTTGGAAAAAAAAAACCTGAGATGCTTTTAAACACATACTTCTTTCCACTGGGTAACAGTAAGAAATGAGGATTTTCATTTAAGCCTTACTGCTTCCTACAAATTGCACCGTGTTAGATTACACCAACATACAATTGGCCAAATTTTAAAAACTCTGACCTGTTTTTGGTTGTGAAAAATACTCTTAATAAAGAAGAGTTATTTTTGCTATTGGGATGGTGGCTTTGGAGTGCTGATTTGACTGTTCTGTTGATTTTGAAGTAAATTCAAAGTAAATGCATTCGGTTGCATCCGAGAACAGGTACGTTTGAGACTCTTGTTGGTGTAGTTGAACAGGGCTGCCTCACCATGTCCTGTGCATGTGGCCTCTCTTCCTTTCACGCTCGCCTGATGCTCTGTCTCATGAATGCTGTTCAAGCTCTGTTTTGCTGTGAAGAACTTAAAAGTAATATCCAACATTTGAGATGCAGTGGTCAGAGGAGATTGTGCTATTGCTGTCTAAAATGTTATTGTTTCTTGATTTTAAGGTTATTAAGACATTTACAATCTTGCCTTTTAACACCATACTTACTGGGTTTGTGTATTTTGTTAATCACCTGGTATTCTTCCTTTGGTGAATTAAGGTCTCTTTTTAGTCATAAACAGAAATAGCTTACCAGCTATGCATGTCTTTTTGTGTCAGAATCCTTAGTGTTTTTGATTTATGTTTTTTATTAAACTCCTATTTTTCTATAGCTAGTTAATTGAAGCGATGGGATACTCCTAGCTTAAATTGGCTAAAATGAAGCAATTCTGTTTCTTTCAGTGTTCTAATTTTCTTTCAATTTTCTTCAACAAGCTATTTTAGGAAAGAATATTTTTCTAAATCCCAAGCAGTTTTCTTAAAACAATTATATAAGTGAATAGCATATTTGATAGCTGAGGTTTCAAGAAATTTTTAAAATACTGTATAATAGTGTATTTTCTGAAATTTTACTTTTTAAAGATCATTGAACTATGTATAGATACACACATTGATGTAGGCCTCCTAAAGACAAAAAGAATAAGATGATTCCCAGCGTTTATACATGTAATTTGAAAACCATGTTTCAGATAACAAGAGAGGAGAGGGAAATGTTTTTTGAACATGTTTGTTGTGGTGGCTTGTCTATGGAAGGTGTAGCTCATTAATAAGACTTGAAAAGTGTGACTTGCAGCTATCATATTGTAATTGAATAGTGGCAAGTAAAAACGGGACATGGTAGATGTTATTATGGTAGATGTTGGAATTCCTTTTTTCTTCTATTAGGCTCAACTATGAGATACTACCTAGTTTATTAATAAAAGAACCCTGAAACCTACTTCTTTAGAAATAACCACTGGCCCAACCCTGGTACCTAGAGCTAGGGCTTATTTTGGGCATCCTTGGTATATCTTCTTCCTACAGACTTTGAGTTTGGAAGATGAGTGACAGATGACACTGAGGAGAAAAAGAGATTTTTCTGACTATTATTTAAAAAAACATTATCACTTAACATACTTGCATAGAGACAGCTAATGATTCAATTTTCTGAAAAGAATTACTTACAGCAGTGAAAAGACTTATATTGTATTTCTTTTCTTTCTTGCCCATGTGCTGCAATACAGGAAGCTCCGACTCTGTGGTTCCTGATGTAAGTAGTATTCATTTGTGGTTTTGAATAAGGTGAGCTTGGTGGGATTGAATACAGTAGCACTGCTTACCATGACTTTAAGTTGCATATGAGTTGATCAGCTCGTCATCCTTCCAGATTGAAAAGTCTTATTTTGAAATAAAAAGGCAAATTTCCCTTGGTACAGGTTAACCAATGTGTGATATGAATCATGTATGTGTGCAGAAGTGGTTCAACAGATAACTGGATGAAGTTATGTTGTTCTGTGTTTGCGTTTCTTCTCTGATAACTGGTTAGCTTCCAGTTCCAACCCTCAGTGCCCCGAGTCGCTGGGCGTGGGATCAAGAGGAGGAGCGAAGGCGGCAGGAGAGGTGGCAGAAGGAGCAGGACCGCCTGCTGCAGGTAGCGCAGGGTGGCGTGGACGAATAAGAACCAGGCTGGGTTTCATGACTTTTCTTGAGTCTGTGTCAGCCATTATTAAGAAGCGAATTAAGACAAAACCAAAGCAAAACAAAACCAACAGTCTCATAACTTATCTTTTCATATGTAGCACATTTTGCAGTAAACAATCACTTTTCCATTTTGAAGATTTTCAGAGTCATCCTTTTAAAATCATTACTTATTAACTCCTGTGTATATTTTTGGATACTTACTTACTTAGCAGTGAGAGATGCACAGACTTTGTGAAGACTTAGTTCCCGTGAACCGTTTACTAGGCCCATTGTAGGGTAATTCAACCCCCCTTACAGTTCGCTAGAGGCTTTCATGAAGTACAGCCATGGTCATCAGTGGATATGGGTTTAATACTCACTTTCCTCATGTCTGCATTTTAATTCAATATAAGCTCTTTTCTACTTTAGGGACTGAAATCTGATTGGCTAATTAAAATGAAAGCACTCTCCTTAAAGGTCAGGGTGAAGGTCTAGAGTTTGGTTAAGAATGAAAAAGATTCTTAACATGGAAAGTTAACCTATTGATTGATTTAATACATGCCATATTTTCTTGTAGGAGAAATATCAACGTGAGCAGGAGAAACTGAGGGAAGAGTGGCAAAGGGCCCAACAGGAGGCTGAGAGAGAGAATTCCAAGTACTTGGATGAGGTAGAGTGGCTTCTCAGTTCCCTTCCTCTCTTGACCTTGTTGGAGGGATAAGCCGAGAAGCAGGAGATACCTCATTTCCCCCCACTTTTGGCCAAATGTTCACCTGTGTAGCTCTTTGAAAAGTACAGTGAGCTCTGATTAATGTTTTAACTTTTCCCCTACTTTTTCTTGGGCATCATTAAATAATTGTACTAATGAACTTAAGTGGATCTTCCTCTTCTAAATTACATGTCAATCACTCATGTGACTCATGGTATTTTTATTGATATTGCTTAACATTTTTTTCAGAGTCTCACTCTGTTGCCCAGGCTGGATTACACTGGCACACTCACAGCTACTTCAGCCTCAGCCCACTGTGCTCAGATGATCCTTGCACCTCAGCCTTCCCAAGGAGCTGGAAATGTAGGCATGTGCCACCCCCTCAGCTAATTTTTTGATTTATTGTAGATTCAAGGTCTCGTCAAGTTGTGACTGGTCTTGAACCCCTGGGCTCAGGCAATCCTTTTATCTCCGCTTCCCAAAGTGCTGGGATTATAGGTGTGAGCCACTGTGCCCTACCTTAGCATTTTTTTGAGTGGAGTTCTAGGCCAACTACAATTAGTATCTGAAACTGAATATACATGTCTGTATGCAATTATAGAAATGCACAAATTTAGATGGATTTGTTTTTCTCCCTGGTCACCTAGGAACTGATGGTCCTAAACTCAAACAGTGTTTCTCTGACCACACGGGAGCCTGCTGTTGCCACCTGGGAAACATCCTGGAGTGAAGGGTCCAAGTCTTCTGACAGGGAAGGAACCCGAGCAGGAGAAGAGGAGAGGAGACCCCAGCAAGAAGAAGTTGTTCATGAGGACCAAAGAAAGACACTGCAGGAGGAACTCGTTGAGAGAGAGAGGAAACTGAGGGAGCAACAGTTTCAGGAAGAGCAGGAGCAGAAGCAGTTTCGCTCTGAGGCCGAGGAACAGAAGCAGCTTCAGGACGAGACCGAGGAGCAGAGGAGGCTTCAGGCCGAGGCTGAGGAGCAGAAGCGCCGTGCAGAGGAGAAGAAGCATCAGGCTGAGAGAGAGAGAGAAACCTCTGTCAAATTCTACCAGTATAGGAGGTCTGCCCACAACCATAGGGCTCAGGGGATTTTAGCTGGCTTGGCTTAGCTGTGTCTGTTTCCCACTTCAAAGGCAACTCCTTGCTCTTCCTACTCTCTGCCACCCTTCTCTACACAAGTGAACATAAGCTGCCCAAGGGAACTTTTAAATCCTTAACACAGTCCTGCCCAATACTCTCCAAGTGACTTCCTGTCACGTCAGAACACTGTCCAGAGTTCTTGCCACAGCCTAGAAGGCTGGCATGAGTTAGATGTTGGCCCTTTTTTCTGTCTAGTAATGCCTATCTTCTTCCCCTCACTCAAGCTATTCCAGCCACACTGGCCTCTTTTTTGTTCCTTGAAAATGGCCCAACATACTCTGCTCCTGGACTTTTGCATTTTCTAATATCTTTGCTTGCAGACGTCTTCCACTGATATTTGTATGTCTTGCTTTCTCATTTTCTTCTAATCTCTGCTTTGAGGTTTGGACCACCTTCTTAGACTTCCCAGAATACTTGATATAAAGAAGTACACACCTCTTCCTTACCCTTTCTCTCTGTATACCCTGTGTTACTTATTCATTTGTTTGTTGACCTGTCTGCCCCCAGTAGGATGTAAGTGCAATGAGCTAGTAAGTTTGTTCTGTTTACTTCTATAAACTGATCCTAGAAAATGGTGGGCACTCATGTGGAATGAATGAGTGAATGAATTATTGCAGATGTTTGTTGACAGTAGTAGGTCTGTTTTCTGTACTGATTGATTGAGATACTTCTGTATGGTTAGTTTTTAACCCAGAGACCAGTTGCATAAAGAGATAGAATAACATTATTTTGTTATCCTTTCCTTAGACTTGGGGAAGGTCTTACAGTATTTTGACTGTAACGTCTTTTTCCATCTTTTAGGCCTATTGATTCCTATGATACACCAAAGAGAGAGGAAGAATCTTCAGGTTTGCTTCCTAGTGACAGGTGTGTAGAATATTTCATTGTAATTTAATCCGTAGTAATTGGCTTCAGATAAATATTCCAGGGCTTGCCTAGATGATCTGTAGAACTAGTTTAGCTCTTTGCCATTTGTGGGATGTAAAGAGAACTTGATGGATGATCTTTGTATTAGTTAGCTTTTGCTGTGTAACTGACTCTTCCTAAACTTAGTGATTTAGCTCATGATTTTGTGGGTGAGCATTTTGAGCTGAGCTCACTAGGGTAGTCCATCTGGATGCTCACTCATGTGTCTGCTACCAGCTAACTAGGCAATTCTGCTTTGGGGGCTTGGCTGGCTGTCAGCTGTCAATGAGAGCACTTGGGTCATATGTCATTTAACATACAGCAGCAAGTTGGGTCTCAAGTACGTGGTGGCAGGTATGGAAAAGAGAATGAAGGAGAGGAAACCTGAAAGGCATCCTGGGCTTTACGCTATTGTCAAGTAAAGTCACAGGCCTGCTCAAATTTGTGAATATCTGAAAAGTTATACATGTCTTAACATTTCCTAAAACATTATTGTAATGTTTTAAAGTAATTTTTAAAATGCTTTGCAGTTTTGAAATCACTAAGGGCTTCTAAACAGAGTCTGTCTATAAATATCCAGTTTATGGCCGTTTATGTTTTCAGAGCTGAAATTTCTCCTTTAGGAAGTTTGTCTTATCTATTAGCTACAAATAAATACTTGTATCTGTAGGCATTCAGGATGTCTGAATTGGACTCAGAATAGAAGGGGAAAAGAAAAGAAATAAACAGGTAGTAATAGGCTGACAATAAGCTTATAAAAAATCTAGTGATAGATGACCTTTTTTATAATTTCTTGGGTGACTATAGATCATTAAAATATTTGTCTTTTTTTAGAGGTAGGGATTTATTTATGTATTTTTTAAAAAGCTTTATTTGTATAGCTCATAACCTTAGGGAAAATAATTAAAATTCTGAGAAAGGAAACTTGAGGAATTCTGGAAAATATGAAATACTTCCTGATGGTCCTGATAAAGCATTCCCTAGGGACAGTGAGGAGTGTGGCTAGACATCTGGTAATATAAGTGTTTACTTCTATGTAAATATAAGTGAATTTTTTCACAAATACAGCTCTCTACCAGGTGTGATACATTATTATATATTGTTGCAGTTTATACATATGTACAGGTATACATATGTATGTATGTAGTATAATATTGCATAGTACTTTATAATATTGTGTATTATTATACATTGTTATTGCTATTATTATTTGTGAAGCTCAGTGTGCCTAGTAGAATAAGAATGAGATCAGCATATGCTGATTTATAGACCTTATAGCAATTTTATTGCTATAAAGTCAGGCATCTTTAGAAGGCTATGCAATATCCTTTAGTTCCTTTTTGATAAATTGCTGTGCCAAACTAGTTGGTGGCATCCTAACGCTTAACCTTACATCATCACCCTGGGGCAGTGTGTGGGTGGTGAGGCAGTCTGACTTTAGGTGATCTGATGGCCGATGCTTTGTGAGCCTGGTAAGGTTGAGATATGGACCATAGTCAACACTGGTAGAAATGGATCAGTACATCATAGTCTTAATCATTATGCAAGCTGGAGAAGTATTTTTGCATGTTTATATCTATTTATAGCATTTTACTCTTCTTTGTTTTAGGAGTGTCACTATTTTCTGTTAGACTATACAATATGAAAAATTCCTTGGTTTAAAAACAGATATTGCTTTCCACAAACATATGGAATCAACTTTTTTTAAAAAAGCAGTCTTTTTTCGTGTTTTCACTTCAACATATGAAAGCATGTTATTAATGAGACATATTTAATAGACTGTGTTCTGTGCCTTAGGAATAAATCCATATCTACTACTGAACTGGATAACTGCCCTACAAATAAAAATGGTAAGTATGATTTGGTTTTCCCCAAACTGCTTCAGCGCAATTGCTTATTTGTGCTATCACATGTTATGATAAATATTTTTAAGGTCAAGATATTATCAAGATTACATAATTAAAATATTGAGTATTTTTAGCATCTGCCTATAAAACAAAACAATTCTGTTATGCTCATTTTGGCTTTATTTTATAATGGAACGAGTATTGGGAGATTAAAATGGTTTCTACATCATGAAGAAATCTGGGAATTTGCAAAATGATGCAGCTTTGCATGGTAGACTTCATCTTGCAGCTAAAGAAATGATACAAAAAAAGATTTCTGCTAACTTGAAATTATACCAAAAAATTCAAAACGATAATGACTTCACTAATTTTGCAAACTTGATATTGTTAGTATAAAGTATATTTCTAAAGAATGCATATAACTGAAGCTATGTAATGATTAAGCAATGAGCATCATTTTAAGCAAGGTTCGCATGAATAGGCTGCTGACCCGTTACATGAATGAATGAGGGTCTTGGTTGGGATTGAGGGGTACTGATGCTCCCATCCAAGTGGACAGCCACTCCCCAGCCCCAGTCTATCACTGCCAGGTTGAAGAAGGCAAGTCTCTGATTGCCTACTCTTTCTGTTATAAAAGAAAAGTTTTAAAAAATCTATATTTTTGTGTTATCTTTTACATGCTGGCAAGGATTTTTAAAGAGTTTAAAGTCCTCTGTGAGGAAAGCAGCATGTCTGCGGGCCAGAATGGACTGGTAGCAGCTAGTTTTGTAACCTCTGGTTAAAGCTTGTAGAATTTAGAGTTTCTATTAGGAATTATAGTTCTATGATCATCCCTTTCCCAGAACACATAGGACTTTCCTGGTCTGGTCCTAGGTTGGTTTTCCTGATTATTTGACTGTTTTTTCCCTTATGGAACCCCTTACTGTAGCCACATTTTCCTCTCTCAGTTCCTAACTTCTCACTTACTTTGTAATCTGGGCCCTCTGGTCTTACCTTTCCCTGTTTGTGTCGTTAATTTCTTCTTCCCTAAACTTGCCTTTAGCCAACATTAAAATTATAGTTTAAGTACTTCAGTCCTGGAATATTTTTAACCTGAAGTGATTATATTCTCTCCTGCACATAAACATAAGACCTGTTCATAACAGCAACTGTGATTCTCTGGAGTGATCTTGTTAATATTTGTGGCTTGTGTCATTAATCTGGTTATTTTGTTTGTGAGTTTCCTCCCCTTTAATAGCTAATTGCAGGCTCCTGAAGAGCAAGCAGTGAAAGTTATTAAATACTTGGTTTAAAAACTTGGTTACACCAAGTAGAAAACATTTATGTAAATCTGACCCAATTGATAAGTATTGTATGTGCACAAATGTAAATATTGGTGTGTATGAGAAACTTTTTGCCTTGCTTGTTGCTTACTGAAAGATGAACTATGGGACAAACAATGAATTTTGAAATAATGGCCATAACAGTGAACGTAGAGAAAGAAAAAAAATAAATCCTTGGGTGAAATTTCCTGATCCAAATTAAGATGGGAATGATACTTCAAAGTTTTGGATGCCTTACCCAACTCAGAAAGTAGTCAGCACATCTAAAGAGACAAAGTCCTCAAGATAAAACCTGACTTAATCATCATTAATAAATTCAACATTCAAATTATAGTTCTGTCAGTTTCTTAGAGTAGAAAGAAGTCTGATAGCATTTATGGGTTATTATTTGGATTGCTTTGATATTTTTCCTGTTCACAAAAGCCATTTCAATGATTGAAGATGTTCTCATTCTTGCAATTGTGATTATCACTTATAATGTACGTGCTTGGGTCATGTCAGCTAGCAACGCATGCATTTATATCTTATCTCTCTCCCCAGGGGAAGTGTAAGTATTTTAAAACTCCCTGTTTCCTTGCAGATTTGCTACAGCAAGCATTTGAGCCTGTGCTTGATTGATTTAACTTAGGAAGGGGAGAGTGGAAGAAAAACTATTTTTAGATGAGCATTTTGTAACTAAATAATACTGAAACCAGTACTGATTGTTTCCTTCTTAGTTTTCCTTATTGTGTTCTGTGGTGTGGCTCTGATCATGGGACTGAAATTGCCAGGAGTAAGAGACAGTTACTTTGTGTTCTCATGCAGTAGCCTCACTGAGGATTGACGATCTTAGCACATGTGCACAGTGTCACATTTTAAGCATGCTGCATTTGCTGATTTATCCACTATGATTTTTTTTTTTTTTTTACGGTACCAATCCTAAAGCTTTTGATGTGTTTTAAATTTAGAAAGCAGAAAATACTTAGACCAAATTGGAAGCACTGCCTCTTCACCGAGGAGCTCCAAGAAGGAACAAGTACCATCAGAAGCAGAGTTGGAGAGACAGCAAATCCTTCTGGAAATGAGGAAGAGAACATCCCTTCACAATGACAACAGCTGGATCCGACAGCGCAGTTCCAGTGTCAATAAAGAGCCTATTTGTCTACCTGGGATCATGAGAAGGTGTGAGACATCTTAGGAAATATTTTCACATCTTCACTTTACTAGTAAATATTTAATTTGTAGACATGCTTGTGCTTTGAACAGAAGAAAGAAAGAATAGTAGAACAAACATCATCCAGTGTTAAAATGGGTTAAACTTAGTATTGACAATTGTATATGGAAATAGGAATTCTTGTTGCCAGTTGGTTGGACCACTTTTCCAGTGTGTATTAAGCAAAAATGTATACATCTATACCCTCTGAACAATTTAGTTCCTAGCACTCTATCTTCTTATTTGGATAAGGATGCAAAGGTATATCCAAGGATTTCCACTTAAACATGATTGGCAATGGTAAAAGAAGAGAAAATCACAATATCTACTAGTAAGAGGGTACTTAATAGTTACCCAATAAATAGTGGTGTACTGATAAGATAGAATACTACACAACCATTGAAGAATGAAAGAGATAATGCTGTATAATATGTTACCGCAAAACTTAGTGGGTTAAAATAACAATTAATTTCTCACAGTTCTGGGGATTGACTGGGCAGTTCTTTGCATGATGTTGACTGGCACAGTTGAGCAGCTATAGTCATTTAGGGCAGGAGTTGGCAATTTTTTAAAATATGAAGGACCAGATAGTAAATAATTTAGGTTTTGTAGGCCATATGGATCTTTATCACATTTTTTTTTTTTAACGACTCTTTGGAAATGTAAAAAATATTCTTAGCTCATAAGCTATATATATCCTGGACGTGACCTGTAATTTGCTGGCCCCTGATACAGAGGCTTCATTGAGAGCTCAGCTGGAGCCATTAGTTGGGAGCTGAGGGCCCCTCCACATAGCTACTTGGGCTGCCTCATGGCATGGGACCCAGATTCAAAGGGGGAGAGACTTGCAAGAGGATAATTCCTAATAAGCTAGTGCTTATCACCATGTACTTCATGTTTGCTGATGTCTCACTGGCCAAATTAGTAATGTTGCCAAGCCCTGAGTCAGTGAGACCACACAGGGGCATGGATACCAGAAGGCATGCTTCAGTGGGGGCCACTGAAGTGCAGTCTATCGTATGAACAGACATTGAGGATAGTTATAATATATATAAATGGCAAGTTATTGAAGATAGTGCTGTGGAATAATACATTTGTTTAAGACTGGTAAACATATAAACACAGTGCATATATGTATAGACAGGTTTATACTTATGTAAATCTATGTATATGTAAACATGCTTGCATATGTGATCAAAATTCACAGTGATTACCTCTGATGTTTAGGGCAGGTAAGTTGTGACAAGGAGGAACTTTTACCCTCCCTCAGATACCATCCTATAAAGTTTTAAAGGCAATAAAATCAATACTGACCAGGTAGAAAAGCATTCATAATTTTGAGTTAATTTATGTAGATATGTTCTAATGTATGACTTTAAGAGAGATTTTCAAACATTGTATTTAAATTCTGTTGTGAGCTAAATCCTATTTTAAATGCATATCCAATTTAAAGAAGTGGCTGATGAATGCTCCTATAATGGATACATTAAATGGTTTTTAATCTTAGGGGTTTGAGTGGTACATGAATGAGGGCTTTCCAGGAGCCATGGCCTGGGTTGCTTTAGAATCAGGGGACTTTGTTTTGAAAGCCAGTTCCACCTCTGACAGGCTCTTACATGAACAAGACCACTTTTTTGAGATAAAAAAAAAAAAATCTTAGTGTAATAAAGATGAAGTAAGTTTCATATTTTTGTGAAAATGTCTAGTCTATTACCTGTCGTATTTAAGTGCTTAAAATGTATTTTTGGTTGAATTTTAAGACAGACTTTGGTGTGTCTAAACTGTTTAAGATTTAAAGATAAATATCTGTCTTCTTAGCCTTAGTACAATATTAGCTTTTATTTTTTATTTTTATTTTTTAGTATTTTTCTTTCCAGTTTAGTTGGTATTTATTCTTTTGCCTAAGCACCAAGTGATTAAAAATAAAAATAAAGTTGACTGATATGTAAAACATCATGATGCCTCTGAAGATGAAAGCAACTTGTTAAAGGTAATTTTACTGTTGGTCCTGCACTATCAATGGTTCAACCTATGGTTTTTTGACTTTATGATGGTGTGAAAGTGATAAGCATTCAGTAGAAACCATACCACAAGTACTCATAGATCATTCTGTTGTTCACTTTCACCAGAATATTCAAAAATTACATAAGATTTTAAAGTCTTTATTATCAAATGGGCTTTGTGTTTGATGATTTTGCCCAACTGTAGACTAATGGAAGTGTTCTGAGCATGTTTAAGGTAGGCTAGGCCAAGCTGTGATGATTGGTAGATTAGGCAAGTTCCATACATTCTGACTTAATGATATTTTAAACTTGAGATGAATATGTTGGGACATAACCCCATCATAAATGAAAGAGCATCTGTATATATAACTGGACTTCTTAGAGTAATACCTGTGTGAAAAATAGGTAAAATGGATATTTTAATGACTGTAATGACAAATTAAATAGATTTCCAGTTGAACATACCACTTTATGTTGATGAGTCCTTTTTGTGTTTCAGAGGTGAATCTTTAGATAACCTGGACTCCCCACGATCCAGTTCTTGGAGACAGTCCCCTTGGCTCAATCAGCCTACAGGTTTCTATGCTTCTTCCTCCGTTCAAGACTTCAGTCGCCCACCACCTCAGCTGGTGTCCACGTCAAACCGTGCCTACATGCGGAACCCCTCCTCCAGTGTGCCCCAGCCTTCAGCTGGCCCTGTGAAGACAGCTGCCACAGGTGTGACCACTGCACGGTCCCCCACCCCGAGAAGCCATTCCCCTTCTGCTTCACAGTCAGGCTCTCAGCTACGCAACAGGTGAGTCCTTCCTGTTTCTTCTTTCCTTCTCCTACTCTCAAATATTTTGTCATTGAAATTTCCCTCAAATCTCGTCCAAGCTTTCCAAAGAAAAAGAAAAACAAGTCCTTTGGAATGTGTCAAATTCAGTGTTCTTTTATGAAATCATTTAAGAAGGCTTTCTTAATAGTGTTCCATGCAATTCGAACCAAATAGCATTTCTAGATGCCTTGTGAGGCCGTTGGACACCTTGAGGACATCTACTTGTTGCCGCTGTCTCGTTTGCCTGTGCTGTGGTCACTGTCTTAGATGTAAGATGCACCTGAATAGTTCTCCGTGTGGAGTTGGAGAAACACACAGTAGCTCATGAATACTCCTCAGATTTCGGGTGAAAGCAGTATTATAAAGTATCTGCTTTCATTACACCAAAGTACTAAAGTACTATTTTCATGACACTGTAATTCAAACTCACTTTATATGAACTACTTAGTTAAGAAAAGAAAAGAAAGCATTACAATGCAGCTCGACAGTCTGGGGAACTTTTTAACTGGCTAGATTAAAGGAATGTTAATTAGGTTAGAGCTTGCTTTTGGGGTTTTTAATGGCCAAATCATTACTTGGCTGTTCTAGTTGGCCAACTTTTTGTTCAGTTGTATTTTGTAGGTCACGTGACACAGGAAGTGTGTAAGTTATGATAGGGTCTTAACTAGAAACTGTTTTTTGATATGGAGTGAAGCTCAGATATCTGCTTTGGTTGGGTTTTTAGATCAGCATTGCTTCTCCACAGATCTTTTATGTTTCACAGAAATACATGCAACAGCACAAGGGAGTGCTGGCATTTACTACTTTTCATTGCAAACAGTATATGTAAAATGGATATTTTAATGACTGTAATGACAAATTAAATAGATTTCCACATTGATTAATGCTGGAATTTTTGTTTGACTATCAAATAAGAGGTTTGGATAAGAAAACATGTTTTATATTGATCCAAAATGATGTTACAGGTACCAGAATCTACAAAGTGGGTATCAGAGAGTTTGAATTGAGAGAAGGGGGGCACAATTTAAGGTAAATTTATGGGGTAAGGAGATGAAGTCTATGGAGTGGGAAGAAGGAAGAGGAGAGAGTACCCATTTACTTCCTGAGAGCCCCACTCTACGAGAGCAGGGAGTAGAGGGACAGGCTGTGGGCTTCTCTGCCCTAAGAAGGTTTTAATGTAGGAAGTGGCCCTTTAAATATCAGATACTTGGCAGCCATGCACTGTTCTGTGCCACTAAAGTGTTGTGTTTCTGCTGTAGGATTACAAAGGTAAGGAAGAAGGGGTACCATCTTGCCACAGGAAAGGAGCTAAGACCTGTGTCCCAAAGTAAAGGAAAAACCTTCCTTCCCCGTGTAAATGGTAACTGTCAGGCACTTTTCATTTCCTTTGGCAATCATAAAAGCCAGAGACACATTGGAAAGTGCTGACACTTCTGTTTAACTAGAAAACTGGGTAACTGAGAAAGGGGGTAAAAAATAAGGCTGAGAAGGTAGGTTGTAGGGAATTTACAGTGCCCCTAGAAGGAAGTTGAGGCTTCTCTTAGCATTCTGGGTGGTGGGATCATATGATTAGAGTTGTGTGCTTTGGTAGGCTTAACTGGCAAGAAGATGTAGGTGGATTAGATGGGGGGAGACTATTGCTGAGTGCAGGTGTGATCTAAGGTGGAAAGCATGGAGTACAGGATGGACTCATTACAGCAAAATTGGTCATTTACATGAATAGGTGCCAAGGGTCACAGAGCTGCCATGGAGATCATTCCAGGTTATAGTGTAATCAAGGTATGCTTTAGTTGCCTGGTAAATGTTGTCCTCCCACAGATACACATCTAGAGCCTTTCTGAAATCGTTATTAATGCTAATACCAGAGCATGATTTTAAAAAATAAGAACCTTGAGCTACACAGGTGAAAGCCTCCATTCCATTCTCGTTCTGCGTCTAGGTCAGTCAGTGGGAAGCGCATGTGCTCCTACTGTAATAACATTCTGGGCAAAGGAGCTGCCATGGTCATCGAGTCCCTGGGTCTTTGTTATCATTTACATTGTTTTAAGGTGAGACTGAGACAAACAGCTTGCAGACTTGCAAAGCTTTGCTTGGTGCGCGCATGGCTTCTGTGAGCTGCTGGGTGTGGATGTACCACTAACAAACTAGGCGCTGTGTTCATTAGTCTGTGCTGCATTTGAATCACAAATCGCTTGCTGCTGCTTAGTTCTCAAATCTTGAACCTTGTTTTAAGAATTAAATCTGGAAAAAGTAAGCATTTCTTATCTACTATGTTAGGATGCTATGAATTTACAGTCTTAAATGCTTTCTCTAAGGTGCTGTCAGAGGCATACTTGAAATATAATTTACCAACAACTCACCAGTGTTGTTTAGGGCATGGACCAGCACATGCAATTATCACAGTGTCTGAAAGCCTAGCGTTTAACAGGGACACTATGGAAGGAAAAACACTGTAGATATTTTTATAATTGCACAGCCTGCTTAAACCTGATAGATTTTTGCACATAAGAGGGAACTGACGCTGTAATAGCTCAGTTTTGCAGTATCTGTCTCTAGAGACACATCTGTTAGATTCTTGAACTTACATTGGGCTAGAGAAAGGTTCGAGTTGTTGATGCTGGAGTCCTGCAGACCACAACTTGTTTAAGCTTGTACATTGCTGGCTTGGGCTGTTCCTGGGCAGAGCAGAATGAGTCAAGATAATTAGAGTTTGGGCACGTGGAACTGATATATCCAGCCTTGAAGTGAGGCACCGCATGGGAACACTTGCCAAGCTAGTGCAGCGGGGGTGCTGGGAGAGGCCCATCCCAGAGCAGAGGGCCAGAAACCCAGTCTTCATTCATTCACCTGGCCTGCTCTTTCATGTGGGGCCTTACCCTGCCCTTCCCTGGGAAGAAGGAAAACTAAATTTCTTTAAACCAATTAGCAATTTTTTCTTACTTTTTGGAGATGTGTTTAGACTGATCATCTTGGCTCTTGATATTTGCTTTATGAATTCTTTAATGTCTTATCTGGTGGGCTTGATTTTAATCACTAATCATCTTTTGGCCTTTTTTTTTTTTTTTCCAATCTTTGCTGAAATGTATCTAAAAACTTAGAAGCTACATTCTGCTCATTTATTTTTCTTCTCCCTGGGAGCACCCCGAGTTTTCTTGAGCTGACTGATTAGGGATGTTCTTCTTTTGTCCCCTAGTGTGTGGCCTGTGAGTGTGACCTCGGAGGCTCCTCCTCAGGAGCCGAAGTCAGGATCAGAAACCACCAACTGTACTGCAACGACTGCTATCTCAGATTCAAATGTAAGAGAACAAATCAGAGAGAAAATTTCTTGTCTTTTAAGGAGACCTCGCGTTCCCATGCATTTTCCTGAACCTCCAGCCAGTGCCCCCTCAAGTCCGCTGCCTTAGGATTCTAAGTTTTAGGAATCTTAGTGTGTCCCCATTAAAGAGCGTATATAGTGAATGGGTCACTGCCCAGGATTTTAGCTACACAGGATGGATTGTGGGGCTAAGGAATTAGAGAAGAGCATGTGTCCAAAAGTCAGGAAGCTGTCTTCTGTTGTCTGCTCAGGGTCTGCAGAAACCTCTAATGACTCGAGAAAAAGAATAGACAAACCCAAACAGACAGTTAAGTGAATCTTCTGTGTAGGCTGTAATCTGTTTCTGTACTAATGATTGGTTTCTCACCAGCAACTTATTTCTAGTATTTATTAATGGACTTTAATTATGTGATTTAGAATATGACCAACTTCAAGTAATAGTGAATTTCATTTTATGCTAATGTCAATATATAATCACATAAATATTTGCGATATTTTTAAAAGATTATGAATTCTGATTAATATGGTGTTTAATTTTTGAAAAAATTGAGTTTTTCAAAAACTTCATATGCTGCTTCACGTCTAAGTATGTATTTGTGTTGTAAAAGGTAGGACAGCACAATTAGGTTGTATATTGTTTAGAGATAAAGCAAGACAACTGTTACTGCTATTTATATTTTGAACCTTGATGCTGGTAACGTCTATTTCTTCCTTATTGTGAAAGGGTGTTACAAGTGGTATCAGCAAAACCATTTGCTTTTGAACTCTGAGGTATTTATTTGGCCCCTATGTGAAGAGTGCTTTGAAAATGGCTTAAGCCCAGTCAACTCTCTCTTATCTGTCCATGGGCTCTGAGCCTTCTGACTGCAGCTGTCCAGTCCTTTCCTGGATGCTGATGCTGAGGTTGGAGAAAGTCAAGGCTGGGCATGTACGGGGGGAGTGTGTGTATCTGTGTGCGCCTTTCTCTCTCTAATCAAATTCCAAAGCCAAATAGAAATGATTTTTTGAATCATTATTGTAAAACTGCCCATGCCTTTTCTCTCCTCCAATACAAATAATAGAGAGTTGAGTGTAACTTTTTGCTATATCAACAAGCTAATTTTTACTCCATTTTTACAAATAAAGAATTCTAGAGCCCAGAGGCTGTGACTTGCCGAGCTTTTCTCCTAAGAGTGAGTGACAGGTTACTCTTTCTACCTCATCTGAGTGATGACGGCTATGTATCCCAGGTGGCAATATTCACATGTTTTGGAATCTAAGCCCTTTTCTTTCTTCTCTCCTTGCCTGATCAGCTGGACGGCCAACCGCCATGTGATGTAAACCTCCATGCGAAAGCACTGTTGCAGATAGAAGAAGAGGTGGTTGCTGCTGATGTAGATCTATAAATATGTGTTGTATGTCTTTTTTGCTCTTTTATAAAGAAATAACCTTTTTTTTTTTGCCTCTTTAGATTACATAGGAATAGTCTTGGTAGAACCTGTATTTTTGTTGTGTATTTATGAGAAGGTAATTATGTATGGGGAGAAGTGCAGTATTTACTTCAGCATCTTAAAAGCACAAGGAAAAAACAAGAACTTATTAAATATGTTTGAGGCTGAAAATAATCTAGTTTGACTTTCCAGTGGTGTTTTGAAGACAATATTTTATTGTTTTTTTAAATTAAACATTATTGAAATAGTTAATATAAATATGTAATTGCATTTGCTCTGTTTATTGTAATGTATACTAAATTAATGCAGAACCATATGGAAAATTTCATTCAAATTCATCCCCATATTTGCTTTCTGTATCCTTCTTTCTGCCTATGGAATACAATTTAAAAATTCAGTTTATGAAACATTGTATTTGCTTGATAAAGGGGCTCTATTTTCTTTATCAGAATTGTTGTGAAGCAATTTTCAATAGAAAGCTGCTTATTTTCATTAATGAAAAATAATCATGGTTTGTATACCTGAAGTTTTCTCTAGAAACTAGTGAGTCATTCTGTTCATTTGCATTTGTAAATAAACTTGCTGATGCATTTAAGTTGTGGTTCTTGTGTGTGCATGTTTATCTTTAGGCCTTTTACTTATACTTACATATGTGTCCTTTTTTGATATTATGTTTTATGTAGCAGGCTTACTAAGGTATAATTGACATAATAAACTGCACCTATTTAAAGTGTACAATTTGACAAATCTTGACATATAAACCTGTGAAACTATACCACAATCTTGTTGTTTTGACTGAAAAATGTTGTGAAGAACTTTATTTTTGATAGTTATGTTTTGAATATAATACAATTTTTATGGTAAGAGGGATGTTTTGAATATAATACAATTTTTATAGTAAGAGGGATTTGAGTGGCTTGGATCGGCTGAATAAAGTATTTTCTTTTGCTGCCTCAGTGGTAAAAGAAGCAAATAACTGTGTTTAGAAAACCTATAGGGACAACCCCTTCAGGTCCCCTCCCACCGTGGAAGCTTCTCTGTCCTCTCAATAAATCCTGCTTACTCAAAAAAAAAAAAAAAAAAATCTATAAAACAAAAAAATGTACTCTAATGTTTCAGAAATCTGGAATGGGAATGCAAGAACACAAAACTTCAGCATACTTTGAGCAAAAATATGAACTTGTTGAATCTTTTGTAATAACATAAGTGGAGTGAATAATGCTAGGAAATGAGAACTGTATTGGGATAGGTTTAAAATATATAGTTAGATGTTCATATGGGAGAAAATGAAAAATTATGTATAATTTAGTATATATTCTTTTTTCTGATTATTAAAGTAATATGTGTTTATTGAGGATGACTTGTCAAATATACCAAAGCATATATATATATAAAGAGAATATAATTCTCAGTCCCAAACTCCAAAGGCAAGAGCCCTGTTTGAACTCATTCTGCATATAGTTATTTACTCTTTGTTTTTAGTTAACATTGGATTGTGAATTTATCCATGTCTTAAAATTATTATTTTTTAAGAGACAGAGTCTTGCTCTTTTATGCAGGCTGCAGTGTGATCATAGCTCATGGCAGCCTCGAACACCTGGTATAGGTATCTTCCTGTCTCAACTTCCCAAGTAGCTAGGACTACAGGCATGCGCCACCATGCCAGGCTAATTTTTTTTTTTTTTTAGTTGGAATCTCACTCTGTCACCCAGGATGGAATGCAGTGGCACACTCAGAGCTACTGCAGCCTTGACCTGCTGGGCTCGTGTGATTCTTCCATCTCAGCCTTCCAAGTAGCTGGAACTACAGGCAAGCACTACCATGCCCGGCTAATTTTTTTGTTTATTGTAGAGATGAGGTCTCACCAAATTACCCAGACTGGTCTTGAACCCGTGGGCACAGGCAATCCTCTCACCTTGGCCTCCCAAAGTGCTGGGATTATAGGCATAAGCCATTGTGCCCAGCCTCAGGCTAATTTTTTTAATTTTATTTTTTGTGGAAATGGAATTTCACTATGTTGTCTAGGCTGGTCTGAAACTCCTGGCCTCAAGCAATTCTCTTTTTTCAGTCTCCTAAAGCACTGGGATTACAGGTGTGAGACACTGTGCCAGCCTGTTAAAGTTATGTTTGTTTATCCTTTTTAATGATTGCATAGTGCTCCATTGTTTGGCTCTGGTAATAATCAGCTGATCATTCTATTGTGTACTTTTCAGTTGTTTCTAATATCTAAAATTTTAACATTTATTTTTGTAAATTCTATTATGTACTCTATGAGCATATCTTTATTATTTTTATAGACATGAGATTATGGCTCAGATTATGCATTTTAAGGTTCTCATGATACATGGTGCCAAAGTGTTTTCTGGAAATGTGCTACCAGCTTAGACTTCAACAAGCAGTACATGGGCTCGTCCACTTCATTGCATGTTCCTGAAGGTGAATTTCTGTTGCCTTGTTTTCTGCCTGACAAAGAGTAGCCCTCAACATGCAGTGGTGGAGTAAATGCATGAATGAACCACTACTTCATTTCTGCCCTATTTATTCTGCTTGTTACTGCCCCCAGTACATGCTTTAATTCTTGAGTCATCTTTTTGGTTTTCTTACCCAACATCTTTTCTGATCTTTACTCCTTTTCATCTAAGTCTTTTGTCTTTTCATCTTAACCTGTTGGTTTTTCTTCTCTCTAGTTTTCTTATGACAATTTTCCTCTTGTTTCTTACTTTACCTTACTTCAGTGATAACATTTTTGTTACTCAAATTACAAGTAAGATATCCAGAGATATTTTCTTCTAGGATACTGATTCTACATTTGTGTAAGCCTATGGGTATTTGTTAGTTCATCCAGAAACGAGAAGATCAATCATTCGACACATTTTTAAAATTCAAACTATGTATCAGGCAATGCTTTAGGCACTGTGAATACAGCAAGAATAAACACTTTGCTCTGACTGTGCTTATTTTTCTAGGTAAGGGAAATGATAGAGCAAGTCACAAAAATTGAGCATGCAGATTGTGATAAAGGCAATAAAGAAGAAATACTCAGGGTAAGGAGGATGGGGAAAAGGGGCAAGAAATGGGAGTTTGACAGTCCTCTTTCCTGTGGATTGTCAGAGACAGACTCTTTAACATTTGGGCCAAACTCTGAAGGAATAAGGATGGAAAACATACAGATACTTGAAGGAAAGACCTTCTAGACATAGGGAACAGAGAGAGCCAAAGTCTTGAGGAAGGAGAATATTTGTTGTGTTCAGAGCAACCATGTGGTTGGAGTGGAGCAAGTGAGGAGGATTGTAGGAGATGTGAGGAGGGTCAGGTCAGCAATCATTCCAGGACATTGGCTCTTACTCTGAAAGGAAGACACTGGCGAGTTTTGGGCAAAGAAATGAAAGGAACTTTTTTTTAAATAAATTTTTTATTTTAAATATGTGGAGTACAATTCAGGGTTAGGTATACAAATGTTTATTATGCAGGTACCCTTGTTGATAGGTGTGCCCCCCCTCCCCTAGCAGTTTTCCACTACTGCCACTTCCACCCCCACCCTCCCCTTGCAGTTTCTCGCTACTGCCAATCCCTTATAGTATTATGATAGATGTTCAAGTTCCGCTTATGAGTGAGAACATGTGATACTTGGTTCTTTGTTTCTGTGATAGATCACTCAGTATTACAGCCTCTGAGTCCATCCAAGTTGCTGCAAAATTAATAGTTTTGACCTTTATGGCTGTGTAATAGTCTATCATGTATATAAATGACATTTTTAAATCCAGTCCTCTTTTGATGAGCAGCACAGTTGGTTCCATGTTTTTGCTGTTGTGACCAATGCTGCAATAAACATATGTGTACAGGTATCTTTTTCATAGAGTGATTTGAGTTCCTCTGGGTATATTCCCAGTATGGGAATTGTGGGGTCGTACGGGAGGTTGATTTTTAGAACTTTTAGGAATTTCCGCACTGTTTTCCACAGAAGCTATACTTGCTTGCACTCCCACCAACAGTGTGGAAGTGTTCCCTTTTCGCCATATCCTCTCCAGCATCTGTTGTTTTTTGAGTTATTGATGATAGCCATCCTATGGGGGGCCAGCCCCCCAAAAGAGATTTAGAAGGTCCCTGGAAGGTGGGGCAGCGTCGGCGAATATTCTGGAGAAATAAGGAGAAAGAAAGAGACTGGACTCTGTCTAGTGCAGAAGCTGATTCTGTAGTAGGGATAGATATTAAAAGAAAGAAAGATGGAGGGATAGATATAAAGAGGAAGAAAGAGAAAGAAAGAAAGTGGACAACTGTTCAGTGAAATGAGCAGAAGCCGTTTATCGGGACCAACCGTGAGTCTTTTATCCCAAATTTTCATATGTTAAATCACAAGACTTTCATGTGAACACAAGGCCAGGTGGATGAGGCACATCCCCCCCCACCAGGTGTTTTCTTAAGCATGAGGAAGGACAATCCCAATAAAATCACAAGACTATTACGTGAACACAAAGCCAGGTGGATGAGGGGCGTCCCCCACCCACCAGGCGTTTTCCCAAGCATGAGGAAGGACAATCCCAAAATTATCTTACTGTTCCTCATGCTTGGTTTATATTCCTCAAAAGCAATATTACAATTCTAACATTATAAAATCCTAATAATCGATAACTTCTAAAACTTATACATACCCAGCACCTAATAATTGACTAAAATCCTAATACCTTTCTATTCTGTGTTAACTTTACCTGTACTATAAAAAACTCTTAATTATAGCTCAAACCAGTTCCTAAAGAATGTGGCCCTGTCCAAAGATCACGCTGGGCCATTTCCAGGAACAATTGATTATGATCTCTTAACAAAATGGCTATTTTAGAATCCTATGTATCATCTTAATTTTTATAAAAGTTTCTAATTCCTAATCCTAGTATATAAAGCTGATCATCAACAATAAAGCTTCTAAAATAAACCCAAATACAAACTATAATTGTACTAAAGCCAAAATCACAATTAGTAGAAAGTGGGAACAATGAAATTTCTAAAGTTAGCTGTATTCTTATAAAACCTTAAAGTATCATGTTTGATCATGCTTGGACTAACATAATTCCTTGACGTAGCATGACCTATTCTAAAATACTTTCTATGAATAAAATAAATTCAGTTTCTATTATAAGTAGAAAAAACCTGCACTAATTGTAACTAAAGAACCGGTTTAAAAGAATGCAGCCCAGCCCAAAGTGGATGCTGGGCTCTTAGAATGTGGCCCAGTCCAAAGTTCGTGCTGGGCCATTTTTGGTAACTGTAGATAATCATCTATACCATCTAAAGCTGGAAACAGCTCTCTAAATGTATATATGAATTCTTCAAATATACTTTTAAATCTTATAAAGAAGCTTGTATCATGTATAAGGCTCCCAAATGTGATCTGAGTTTGAACTGTGTTAAGTTTAAAGCCGAAACCGCAGTCTGTGAGAAACGGGAACAATGGATCTCTAGAGTCAGCCATGCCTGTCATATTCTCAGGTCTTCATGCTTAGATCATAAAAGTCCCTGCCAGTGGGTAATGCCAACAACAAAGAAAGGAGGAGGGAATGGGCCTTCAGCTCCTAAACCAAACCTGGTGGTCTCAGGGTCCGC